CAGTTCAATCCAAGGGAAGGACTCAAACCAGATGGGGGTTCGTACTCTTCCAGTCTTACAAAGGGAAGTCTCTTTTTGAGACATCCGGCGCTTGGTAGTATAATAATTTTATTGTTCGTGGGAGGAGTGCTCTTGTAGAGGGAGGGGATTGCCAAAAAGCGTCCTCAAGTTTTGAGATATATAAAAAACTCACTTCAAAGGTTCCTTTTCTATTCTTTCTCTTTTATCGCTTTCTTTCGTGTGCATTAGAAGTTAGGACCATGTAGATATTTAATTACTGCAATTAGATGAATAAATAGGGTAAACACATAATTTTTATATCTTTATTTTTTAGAATTAATCCATCATAGGGAACCCGAAAGGGACGTTGTGGGTTACTAACACCTTCCCCACATGTAACTAACTCCCTTACCCAACTCTAGTTATAATGGCCAAAGTTGGTTTTCTTAAAACCAACACCTTTTCTTTTTCTTTCTTTTTCAATGTTTATGGTTAAAACATTGATGGAGACTCCTTAGAACCCTTTTAAGAAAACCTCACTTTTAAGGGTAGCTTGGTTATCGAGCATCCTAAAAGTGATGACCATCTATTTTACGAAAACGCAAGTCATAAACCATCGCGTTGCGATCGATCACCCATTTTTTGGTTCCCCTCCCTTAGCAGTTGGGGACGACGGTGACAGTTAGAAAGAATAAACACCTTATTCTTTTTCTTGGCTCGATGAGTTAAAGGAGTATTGTCATTATCATCAAAATCTGACTCAATGATGGTTGGTGTTGGAAGAGGAACATTGGTGGTGGAAGGTGCAAATATCTGAAATAAAATTATGTTTAATACATGCATGTAGTGAATTGTTCAAACAAAGGGTGCTTCTAATATACCTGAGATGATGATATGGGAATTGAAGTAGGAGAGGGAGTAACTTTTGACCTCAATTTTTTCTGAACAAGGAAGAAGATTAGTCAAATATAAATCGAGAATATGGATAAATAAGAAGAATTTATGCATAATTAGGATCAAAGTGATCATTCATATCGGGCGAAGAGTAAGGCCATGTGTTTTCCTCTTTTTTTGGACTTTGGGGGAAGATTAAGCAAGAGGTGCTTCAGTAGGCTGAGATGTCTCCTCTTCAGGGTCAACAAATTTTGTAGAAGAATGGATTGCAAAGAAGGAACAAATCAAAGATAACATAAGTAAAGGCAGAAATATCATACATGCTTAAAGGATAAAAGGAGAAATAATCTCACTAAAAGGCATATCGGTTAAGATGAACACATGATCAATATGGGTAAGCCAACATGGCAAGTCAATTTTTGATAAGTAAAGGTAAGGTAATAGGATAACTTTGAAACAATAATGGATTTGTTTATTGGTTTGGGATATAGGAGTCATGATGTGATCTAAGTTCAAGAACCCATTTGGGGTGAGTTAGAGGCTTAGAGACTCCAAATGGAGCATAAGGGAAGGGTGGTAAGTTGGTCGGAGTTCTGTCTAAAGGGTTTATAACTTTCCTAGAATCTTGATTTTGGTAAACCTTTTTTTGTAAAGAAAAAACTGTTTCTAAAAGTGGATTCTAATCGAAGAGGATTATAACATTCTTAATAAAAATTCTCGAACTTTATAATTTGAAGATGATGCTCAAATTTACCTTTCATGGCCTTTGATTTTTCTTGCACAACAAATTCAGGGTGAGCATCTAATTGAGTTGTTATAATGGTAAAAGAAAAATACCTCGTGGAGAACCATTGATCCCACCATGTACAAAATTAGAAAGTGCTCAAGAAATTGGACTTGAACGGGACTAGGTGAAACTCAATTGGCTTTGAGGGAGTCAATTGAAGAAGTTCTTCTTGCAAGCTTGATTCATTATAAGTGATACCTCATGGAGTGATATTATGGAATCGAGAAGTGAGGAAGGCTTGGCTTAAGCAAATTGATGTTGGCAGACATATAAGAAGAACTTAACATCCTTTATTTAGAAACCAGCTATTAGTATGTCCTATGTTAAGAAACCAGTCCAATCTTCAATTAATTTGACTTGTAATCCTAGAGTGTTGGCTAGGGGTTTTGACTTGACCCATGATTGACCTTGAATGTGGTGGACATAGTTGTTGATTTTGAAGAAGGGGGCAAGAATGATATCAAATTATTGTCGTGATAACAAGAATAAATTGTAAGCTTTGTACAGGGTGAAGTTAGGATTGTAATGTCTAGGGTGTCGAGTGGTTGGAGAGGTTACCACTAGGGTGATTTGATCGAAGAGCATCCACTGCTTCACCAAAATTAGCGTACATGTGGGCTAGCAATAACTTAGCTAAACAAATGTTGGGTGATCCTCGATGCAGGAGATATGCTAAGTTGAAGTAATGCTAAAAGATTTGGATTGATCAAGGGCAGATGACGTATGTACATAGCCAGTACATAAGAAAAACGATGTGCTCCTCATCAGAAACAACACTAGTTTGGTCATTGATACCATGTTCTTGTAAAAAGTGACCATAAACAACAATAGTTGCGCTACTAGGAGAAACATCGAAGATGTCAATCTTCTTCCAATGTGCCTTGAACTTAGACTCAACTCTATTAAGCCATTTAATATAGGATGATTTTTTCTCGGGTGGCCCAGAATAATAGACTTTGGACGACTGGGGAGAGGAAGTTTATCCTAAACTTCCCTTTTGTGTCTTACAAAATGGATTTTCCTTCGACCTCCCCCAGCCCAAAGGCATACGATATGCCTTCTATTGAGTATGAAATGAGTACTTAGGTCGAGCGGATTCTCTATGATTCCTCTTCTAAGCCAAGGACTAGAGCAAAGGTCTTGTCATTGATCTCAACCAACTATGTAGAAATAGGATTGAGGCTAGAAACGTGAGAAGTAACAAAAGAAGTCATGATACTTGAACATATTAGAAGGTTGATAAGGAGAGATAGTTCAATAGAATGTGAAGGGAGTATAGATGTTTGTAGGTTTAGGAGGTTGAAAATTAGGAGATGTTGATAAACAAGTGTGAAATGATGAAGAAGATGAAACATATTTAATTTTAAAGAAAAACAACTTCCCAAGAAATCTAGAAATATTAAATGAGCTTTTGTATTGACCCATATCCAACCATGCAAATATTTTAACCTAAATATTGAAACCAATGACTACTAAATGCATAATGATACATAGGGTCGAATTTATTATGGGAATTTGGCATTTATGAGGGGAGTAGGGTGCAATGATGAAAACATGAGTTATGCAACTTTTAGACTAATTGCAACAAATGAATAAATTAAAATATTGGGATATGTTGAATTGTAATCAAGAATAAGAGAAATGTATATTCATTGGAATTCATGTTACATTCTCTTACAGGGACATTTTGTTATTGACAAATTTGCATATATATATTGAAGGGAATAAATCAAGAATTATAGGAGATCTTAAAGGAAACAATGTTAATGGAAGAAGATAATAGAGGGTATTAATAGGTGAATAAAGACTAAAAAAGTCAATGAAGAGTAAAAAGGTTAACCTAAAGAGATGAAGTGAAATGTGTGGATCAAAAGTACAAGCTTTAAATGCTTATGATTAGAAAATGTTTGAAAACGTGTATTATGGAAAAGAGAAATGGATTTGAACAAATGAGAAGTCAAATCGAGAGATATATGAAAATAGTCTGATTATGTAACATGTACTTCTAGATATTATGTGGCAACAAAATGACTCGAGAAAATAAGAGAATATAAGAAAGTAACTTAGTTTGTGAGTTTTATTTTCCATTTATTGTATTTCCTTTGTCTTCACCATAATTTTATTTTTATTTTTATATATTTTAAAGTGTCTTATTGGTTATAAATAAGGTGAAATAAATGTAAAGAAAGTTATTTTCTTTATCAATTCATGTTTTATTCTTGATAATAGGTTAAATTTTTATTTTATGTAATTTCCTTCCTTTGCATATTTATCTTTCATCACACATTTTCTTTCCTGCAATTTAATTTTATTATTCTCACAATTTACTTTAAATATTACAAATGATATTAAAAATCCAAATTATATATGTGCGATCATTAATTAAAATATATCTTATCTTAATTATTGAGTGATTGATATTGATCTCATATAATACGATTGATAAGTTGAAAATTATTTCTACTTACTAATAGAAATTAAAAAAAATACACATGATATTTAAATGGTTCATCACACACTTAAATAAAAATAATTTAATCGAACAACGAATCATTTATATTATATATATATATATATATATATATATATATATATTTTGTATAAAATTGTAAGCTTTCATTCAATAAAAATATTAATTTCTATTTATTATAATTATTGTAAAGTAAATTATTTTATAGTTTATAATAAAATTTTCAAAACGTTACTGTGGAGAAAAGCTTTCCAAAAATCATATAAAATAATATTATTTTTTTATAAAAAATTATTATTTATAACAAAATTATTTTAAATATCATATATATATATATATATATATATATTATAGTAATATAAGAAAATCATACTAATGAAATTTATAAGGTCCTTTAATATAATTTAGTTTTAGTTTGTTTTCTAAAATAAATTAAAATCATACCCACCAAATGGACCTTTAATATAATTTTAATCAATCTATCGTCTAGATTTTGAAGCTTGTCGAGGATATAAGTGCATATATTAAAAACTTATTTTGTAGTCAACAATGGACGCGCAAAACACACAGAGCTAAATATATAAAACCATATTTTAAAGGAAAAAATTGCCATAAAAATTAAACAGATTCCTAAATTGTGCAGAAGGTATCTTGATTGTTGGGAGACTAAATCGAGAAAGCCGGAACAGGAGCCCCCTTTGTTGTTCTTGTCGGTTTTTTTTTTTTTTTTTTTTTTTAATTCTCTTCTTTTCTTTTCCAAACAAATTCTTTGTCCTTGTCAATTCTTCTCCAATTCAATTATTTCCCCTCTGATCAAAAGAGGTTGGGTAGCAAAGCTGAAGGCAGGAAATGGGAATGAAGCAAGTCATTAAAAACCTCGACGCGTTTCCACGTGCCGAGGATCACTTGTTGAAAAAAACCCAATCTGGGGCTCTCGGTATTCCCCTTTTCATTCCCAATTTTTTTTTTCTTAGAGTTAGTTATTTGTTTGTGACTTTTTCTTTCATTTTTGCATTGTGGTTTTGGTTGCAGTATCCGTCATTGGATTGATTATAATGGCCACATTGTTTGTGCACGAACTAGGTTATTATCTTAAAACTTATACCATTCACCAGGTTTGTTTTTTTGTATACTCGTGAGTTGAAATGGATTTAGTAAAAGATTGTTTTGATTGAATAGATAATTACGAATGCTTTCGACTTCTGCAGATGTCAGTGGACTTGAAACGAGGAGAAACTCTTCCCATCCATATTAACATGACTTTCCCTGCTTTGCCTTGTGATGGTTAGTTAGTATGATTTTTTTGTCTAATTGATTTTTTTTTTTTTTTTTTTTTAAGATTTCTTTTGTGTTTTGATGTGGTGTTGTGTGTGTATGAAATTCTGAATGTTTCTTTTCTGTCTTTGTCGGCAGTTTTGAGTGTAGACGCCATTGATATGTCTGGCAAGCATGAGGTGGATCTTGATACTAACATTTGGAAAGTAAGTTGCATTGTAGTTTGTCATGTTGAATGTTTTCAGAATGTTGTGGCATGTTTTTTGAGATATATTTTTGGGATGACCTTGAAACTTTAAGTATCTCATTGAGATGAAGAGATATGTCAATGGAGCATCATGAACAGGCCTCAATTTTTCAGATGAGTGTTAAACCTGTATTGCTGGATATTCTTTGCTAGTTGGGGAGATTTCCTTATTGATAGAAGAGACTAAACTGATGCATATGTTTAGTACTAATCAATAGCGCAAGAGATTGATACTTTTGCACTGTGTTGTGGAAGTGTTTTATTGTAGCTGTCTCATTGTTTTGAGTTTTAGTGGTGCTGAGATTGCTGCAGTTTGGCAATTCGCAGTTCTAGAAGTCACTACACCAACAGTGGACTAAATGTCTTATATGATCACCCATTGTCTTCAATAGTCAATTCCCATTTGTGTTTTTGGAATTTTGTACCAGTTTTTGCTTTAGAATTCTTTACAGTCAATTTCTTCTTCACCTTCTACAGAATGTAGAAGCCTTCTAGCATCTCCATCTTTTGGCATCACAGTCTTGTCAGCAGTCCTGGGATTTTTTCTGGCAAATTTGCTCCTATTTTGTGACCTTTCCATATCTTTGTGCAATAGATTAGATGCCTTTGCACTGCCCTCTGTTTTGAGCTTTAATTCTTGAGTCCATTTCTTGTGTTTGAACTTGTTAACGCATGCTATGCTTAACGTACAAAGTTAATTTAAATTGTTTGATTTTAATGATGAATTATTTGACTTTGATGGAAACTGTTCCAAGTTGTTTGCTTATGTCAATTCCAACCTCATATAGTGTGTTTAGACCTCTTTGTCTTTATAATATTAGTTAAGAAAGTAAAGAGAGTGAAAAGAAGATTTCTAATTTAGTGGGATGCATTACTCCACTCTATGATCTCATATATATATAGGATTACAACATTTAAAACAACAACCACCAACTACTAACAACCACCAACCACCAACTACTAACTACTAACCACTAACCACTAACTAATAATAATTCTAACACTCCCCCTCAAGCTGGAGCATACAAATTGTATGTGCCAAGCTTGGAACAAATTAATTCAATTCGAGGTCCTCTTAAAAGACTTTGTCAATACATCTGCAAGTTGATCATTGGACCCGACAAATTCAGTGCAAATTTCTTTAGACAACAATTTTTCACGAATAAAATGACAATCAAGTTCTATATGTTTGGTCCTTTCATGGAACACCGGATTAGAGGCAATGTGGAGAGCTGCTTGATTGTCACAATACATCTTCATCTCGTTGGATCTCACAAAATTTCAGTTCTTGAAGAAATTGTTTCACCCACACTAGTTCACAAGTGAGAGATGTCATTGCTCTATATTCAGCTTCAGCACTAGACCGGGCCACTACATTTTGTTTCTTACTTTTCCAAGAAATAATATTGCCTCCAATGAGAACACAATATCCTGTAGTGGAGCGTCTGTCCATAGGGGATCCAACCCAATGAGCATCACAATACCCAGATATTTGGGTACCCCCTTTATCTTCATACAACAGACCTTGTCTTAGAGCTTTTTTGAGATATTTTAGGATGTGAACGACAGCATTCCAATGATCAGTACGCGGATTTTGCATAAATTGACTCACAACTCCAACGGCAAAAGATAGGTCAGGTCTGGTAATGGTGAGATAAATGAGTTTCCCAACAAGTCTTCTATATCTCGTAGGATCAGAGAGCGGTTCACCACGATCCGCCATTAATTTCCGATTTGGATCCATAGGATCATTTCTCGGTCTACAATCAATCATGCCTGTTTCTTTCGGGATATCTAAAACATACTTTCTTTGGGAGACTACGATGCCTTCTTTTGATTGAGCCACTTCAATCCCTAGAAAGTATTTGAGACAACCAAGATCCTTAGATTGGAAGTGATTGCATAAATGTTTCTTTAGCAGAGAAATTTTATCAACATCATCCCCTGTAATGACTATATCATCTACATATACAATTAAATAAACACATTTTCCTGAAGCAATATAATAAAAAACAGAATGATCTGCTTCACTTCGTTTTAATCCAAAACTTTGAACAATGTGACTAAACTTTCCAAACCAAGCACGTGGAGATTGTTTGAGACCATAGAGAGAACGATGTAACTTACAAATCAAACTAGACTCCCCCTGAGCAACAAAACCAGGAGGTTGCTCCATATAAATTTCTTCTTCAAGATCACCATGCAAGAACACATTCTTGATATCTAAGTGATGAAGAGGCCAATGACGGATGGCTGCCATAGCAAAGAAAAGTCAAACAGTAGTCATTTTGGCCACAGGAGAAAAAGTATCACTGTAGTCAAGACCATAGATCTGAGTGTAGCCTTTTGCTACTAATCTAGTTTTTAGTCGATCAACTTCACCTTTTGGTCCAACTTTAATGGCATAGACCCAACGACAACCAACAGTCTTCTTCCCATGTGGAAGAGAAATTAAGTTCCATGTACCATTGTGCTTAAGAGCCTGCATTTCATCAATCATGGCTTGTCGCCATCCAGGATGATCGAGTGCCTCTTTCACACTTTTTGGAATAGTAATAGTGGATACAGAAGAAACAAAAGAAAAATAGGAAGGAGACAATGTTAGGAATTGGAAAGTATATGTTAGGAGGAAAAAATTAAATAATAACTAACTTAGAGTTAGTTATAGGTGGCAGAGCATAGTTTGTAAATAAGACTATATATAGTGTTTGATGGGGGAGAGGGGGAGGATATATTTTGGGAAGTTAGTTCACTAACAGGATCATTACATCCTGTGAGGGGAAGCTGTTGATTGTAATCAGAGTATTGTTCATAAAAGCAATAATAAAAGTACTTGTGAGTTTTGTTTCCTGTGTGTGTAAGAGGAGAGACGTGAGTTGCGTGGAACCATAGGTTCTTTTTGCCACGAGAACCTAACAATTTGGTCCGACCTGCTGGATTCGAAGGAGCCATGGAGGGAAGAGTAGGAGTGCTTGGAAAGGTGGGCTGAACGGTGGACCGGTGAACGGGAAAAAGTGAATACAGAGCTAAGAAATGCCATTCAAGAAATAAAAGATTTACTCAAGAATTTCAAGAAAAGTGACAGAGAATCCGAGAAGAGTGAAAATTCGGTACAAGGGGGGATAGGAGGACGATTGGAGCAAGAAGATTCGAGGAAGAAGAAGTAGTGCGAGACGAGTGGGTGAAGAGGGTGGATCTACCGTGTTTGAAGGAACTGACCCCGTGGGGTGGATTGGAAGGGCGGAAAATTTTTTTGAGATTCAAAAGATCAACCCAAGAGAGAAATTGCGTCCGGCTTTTATCGGCATGGAAGGGAATGCAAATCATTGGTTCAGATTTTGGAAACAAAAAACCAAGAATCCTTCTTGGGAAGAATTCACTCGTGGCTTTGAATAGAAGGTTTGGAGGAAAGGAACGAAGTACAATTTTTGAGAGATTGGCGGCCATTAAACAAGGAGGAAGTGTGGAAGAATATACTCGGGAATTTGAAATTTTAGTGTCTCGGATCCCGACTATGGAGGAAAACCAACTTCTTGGATATTTTTTGGCGGGACTAAGAACTGAAATTCGAAAACAAATCGAGGCCTCACGACCCAAAGGATTTGTTAAGAGCTATGGAGGTAGCAAGAGATGTTGAAGATGTCATGAAAGAAACAAGTGGAGGAGGAGGAAATATGTACCGGAACAAAACTTCGGATTCCGTTATCAAGGAGGAACGAGCAAGATATCAAGAACCGAGACCTTTAAAGGATCCGGTTCTTCCCAAGGAGTGCCCGAGTAATAACGATCTTGCCGGGAAGGGGACAGGGGATATTTCATGGGGTTCCAAGGTAGGAAATACTTCTATAGGGGAGGTCGGAACAAGAGGAGTGAAGAATCTGCCATATCCCGAATATATACGAAGAAGGGATGAAGGAAGGTGTTTTCATTGTGGGGGCCCTTACAGTCCAAGTCATAGGTGCCCGAGAAAAAATTTAAGAGTAATCATCATGGCGAGAAGATGAAGAAGAAGAGGGTTCGGAGAGGAAGAAGAGGACGAAGAAAAAGTAGAGATGGAACATAGAAGGATGGAGCTTTCTTTGTTTTCAGCGGGAGGGTTAACACCAACAAACACCATGAAACTGTCGGGGTGGATTAAAGGGAGAAAGGTGCTGATCCCGATTGATAGTGGGGCTAGTCACAATTTTGTTGCTTCAAGTTTAGTGGCGGAACTAGGTACTGCAAGTGGAAGAGACGAAGCCTTATTGTGTGAAACTTGGGGATGGGCAAAAGAAGTTAACTAGTGGGTGCTCGCAAGGATATTAAAGTGAGCCTAAGTAATTATGAAGTGCGGGAAACCTTTTTCCTTTTTGAGCTAGGTGGAGTAGATTTGATATTGGGGATAGCATGGTTGGCAACTTTGGGAGAAGTGAAAGTTAATTGGAAATCTTTAACCATGAATTTTGAGTGGGAAGGACAACAAGTTGAGATAAGAGGTGACCCTACCCTTACCAAAAAATTAATTTCTCCGCGAGGCTTTGATAAAGGAGACAGAGATATAGAGGTCATAAGCTGTACTCCGGGAAATGGCAGCGAGTGGGGCCAGCGAGTAAAAAGGGAGAAACAGTTTTAACCATCTGGACGAGACAAATGAGTTGGAGGGTATTTTAGAAGAATTCGATGGGTTATTTCGGGATGTTTCGGGCTTCCTCCCCAACGACCAATAGACCATAGAATCCCCATTAAAGAAGGAGAAAACACTATCAATGTCGGACCTTATAGGTACCCACATTTTTAAAGGCTGAAATAGAAAGACGAGTGGCGAGAGATGTTGAAGATGGGTATCATTAGGCCCGATGAATGACCCATTCTCCAGCCCGAGTGATATTAGTCAAAAAAAGGATGGAAGTTGGAGATTTTGTATTGACTATAGGGCTCTCAATAAGGCCACGGTTGCGAGATTAATTCCCCATTCCAAGTAATTGAGGAATTAATTGATGAACTACATGGAGCCAAATTTTTCTCTAAGGTGGATTTGAAAGCGAGTTACCACCAAATCGGGATGCATGAAGCCGATATTCCTAAGACAGCATTTAGAACTCATCAAGGCCATTATGAGTTCTTAGTTATGCCCTTTGGGCTAACTAATGCCCCCGCTTCTTTTCAATGTGCCATGAATAGTGTTCTCCAAGAATGGTTGCGTAAGTGTGTTCTTGTGTTTTTTGATGACATATTAATTTATAGCAAGACTTGGGAGGATCATATTCAACATTTAAGGCAGGTCTTGGGAAAATTGTTACAACAACAGTTTTATGCTAATAAAAAGAAATGTGCTTTTGGCCAACAAGTAGTGAAGTATTTGGGTCATGTGATCTCTATTAAGGGAGTTGCTATGGATGAGGAGAAGTTAACAACTATAACTAAATGGCCCAAACCAAAAACCATTAAGGCTCTAAGGGGATTCCTCGGACTAACAGGGTATTACAGAAGGTTTATCAGGAATTATGGTAAGATAGCACGACCTTTGACAAGTTTGTTGAAGAAAGGAAATTTTGAGTGGACTAGGGAGAGTGAGGAAGCTTTGGAGAATCTGAAGCGAGGCTATGACTACGGCTCCAGTGCTAGTTCTTCCCAACTTCGGTGAGCCTTTTTCAATAGAATG